TAATTTTTTCACTCCAAAATCAACACAAAAAAAGTAATCGGACTGTTTTAATCGCACTTGAAACTTTAAACGCGTTTTTCTCAAAACAGTTTTTTTTTAAACTTTCCTCCATCATATCTCAAAAATGGTTCGACCGAATGACTTCAAATTCATAGGGTAGAATCAGCACATATATGCGTACCAAATGGATTACGATCCTTCCAATGAACTAATTTGGAACCAAAATTGGACGCAACAAATTGAAGGTATTGTCCATTCTGTGCATTTAAGCTTACAGATTAAAACGCCGTTAATTTTTTTAATTTCAAATAAGCCAATCAGCCGAAATCGTGGAGGAAATGAGCGTCCATATTTTCGAGGCGGGTGTGTTCAGAGCACTATAATGCACGTTCTATTGGATATTTTTGGCTAAACTTTTATATACATACTCTCAAAATGTGTATAAATAAAAGATAAAAAGCTACGTGTTCTATCTTTTTACTGGTTGTCAAACAAAATTCTCTAAAAAGGCTTAAGAAACAGGCCATCTCATGGGTGAACCCCCTTAAATGAGAGACCTTCGCGAATCCCCAGGGGTCCTTGGACCTCAGATTAAGATCCGCTGGTGTAGGATACAAATAATTTTATAAATATTTTTTGTTGAATTAAAGAATTTGGTAACATAGTTGAAATTCAATTAAATATCTTTATTTGAATTTACAGCAAGTGGGGCTGAAAATTGTTCCTTTTATAAAACATGTATTCAAATACAAGCTTGTATAATGTAATGAGATTTTAAATATTTATAGTATTATTTAGTATAGAAAAATTTGACTACAGATACCTGTTTTTGCATTTATTTTACATCATTAACTATCATTACAAATCATTTATCATTTGATATCCTTATAATCTTTGTAATGAATCCACAAGTATTAATGCTAGTATTAAATGTACATCACTATTAAAAACATGTTTTGTGGAAAATATTTTATAATTCTAACAGCTTAAATTTCCCCCCTCCTTTTCTAAAGATAACTGCTATCCTTATCCTTAAGGATATCTTTTCTGCTATTCTAATTGATGTTTCTGCAGTTTTCACTAGATAAACGTTCTAATCCATGTTTGTAAAACAACTCGAAGCCAGAATCACAATTTTTAATTTTATTCTCCATATTTCTTTTTCCTGTTTTTCTCTGTATTACGGGTGTTCTGATTGCTGTGAATACTGGTTACCATTCAAATGAAATTATAAAAGTATTCAGCATTAGTTGTGCCATCTTTTGATAATCATTAAAATTAAAACAGTATTTCTTGATTTGTATCCAAGTACTTAAACGACAGGATGTTTCAAGGCATGAACCAATATGGAGGCGTAAAGTACACCCCCGCACAGCAGGCGGTAACAGGATGGTAGGGGGGGGGGCGAATATACTCTGTTATGTTACTGCAACTGGTCCCAGGACTTGGCCTTGGCAGAGAACCTCATCTTGTTTTCAACTTAGCCTCAGTAAGATCATGATCCTAATAACTTTAATCATCAAATGATATTCTTACATGTATTTACCGAAAAACTACTAGCTTTGAGCTTTTTGCCAACTGACTACAGCGGCTAGACGGCATAATTAAGTCAGTTCTATCGCCCGTGTAGAGGCCTACGCATATCACCATACAAGAGCATTTTTCAAACTGTGGGGCGCGACACCCTAGGGGCGAGATAATTCTATGAGCGAGGAGCGAGCATATTGAAAAGTCGAATACAAAAGATAATTTAAAAAATTATCAATTTACTGAAAGCAAATAAACTAAAACTTTCTGGCGTAAAATAAAAATAAAAAACACATTTACACTGATGTAATACATTTGTAAATGTATCAGTACTGCATGGTGAATTTTATAATTAATTTACAAATCTAAGTTAAGAACAATTTTAATAATTACGAATGGCCCTATGGGCTTGTCATGTATAAAATCATACACAAAAATTAAAACTTTCTAATAATTTGTACTGTTTATTATTAATCTCAAAACTGATGATTAAAAGTTAAGCAATTCGCTTCTCAATGCCACCATTTTCCACTTACAGGTGCGTATGTGATGTATTGGGGGGAGGAAAAGGAATAAATAATCAAATCCTCTGAAATAAGTAAATCCTCCGCAAACATTGTGAATGGCTTTTTATTGCATTCCAAAGCTTTCGGAATAATTTTATAAATAGCAGAGAGCAGAAAAGATCGTATTTCGGAAAGACCTATATATATATACGTCTGGGGCTATTAATGTTTTGGTTGAGTGAGACGTTTACATATGCCAATAGCACTTAAGAGGTTAATGTCGTATAGTAGATTTTACGTCAAATTATAGTATTATTGAATTCAATACATTGTAATTGTATGGAGGGGGGGATGATGAAAATTATGACTGAAAAGTGGGTCACAACTATTGATAGTTTGAGAAGCACTGCTATACAACATCATTATTCATTTAGTAGAAAGGCGCGTTAGGTTGAACAAGTCACTTTTTGCCTAGGTTGGCCGATTGTCAGGGAGTGAGATTTATATTGATGTCGTATTATAAAGCCATTCGAGTGCTATTGAGATGGACTTTGTCATTTTGAGCTTTGGTCGAGTTATCGCAACCAGAAAGGTTAGTTTGGGTCGTTGAAAAAACAGACATTGTTATAAAAAATAATTACTTTAATGCAGATTAATCAATTTATGATTAATTCAATGACCTTGGGAGCAATCTTGTATAATCTAATAAGATCATTCAAAGCACACTTATCTCTAGATCCACTTGTTGATCACTTATTTCGGCTCTTTCCTAATCTTGTGTGTGCGTGCGTGCGTGTGTGTGTGATATGGTACCCTTCAAACCAACATTTCTATAATTTCCACTGCTTTGGATGAACGTTATAGCTTGAATACTAACTTCAGGACGAACGACTCACGATTCACGATCCGCTTTCCACGATTAACTCTAACAGAACCCATTTCTTCCAAGGTTTAAATAGCATTTACATTAGCATAAAAGGAAGTCACCTATACGGAAAACGGTTTTAAACTCAAATCACAATTGAAGAATAATTCCCCCCAGAGGATTAGTTCAAAAACCACGGAAAGAACCCGTCACGTAGTGACGAGTTATACTCTTTAAACTACCACACTTCACCAACAGGAGGAAATAGATCCTCGACAGATCTAGCATGCACCGACCTTCTCCACACGGGGAGTCTTCATTGGCAGCAGGACTCAAACCCTCGACACTCCTACCACGAGTTCGTACTATAGCCACTAGGGTTGAGAGATTGTGAGTCCTTTTATTTGTTGTAGATTATTGTCTGTACGAGTATTTGCCAACATATGCTACAAGCCATCTACTGAAAAAGTTCATAGGTGGGAGTGGTGTATACAAGTGTTGCATTTGGGGATTCAAATCCATCCCACACACCAAGAAATGTTTAGCATTAAGGTTATACCTCGGAGCTTTCATGAATGTGTTTTTTTAAATGTTAAGGTCTCCGATTATATACATATATATATATATATATATATAATATATATATATAAAAAAAATATATATATATATATATATATATAGGTTCGGAGACCAATTTTTCAAAAATTGATTTTCAGAGTAAATTTATTGTTTTAAAGAACATCAATAGGCTTAAAAAGTCACATTTATTAAATAAATAACAAGTTTCACCCTTGGTTTTTGAAAAAAAATATATTATTTTTATGAAATTTTAGCAAAATTTTTAAAGTTAAGAAAAACGCTATAAATAAAAATAAATTACACATAATGCAATTTTAGTTTCATTGATAAACTGCTTGATCCCTCGGAAGTGTCACAAACCGTAGAATAAAAAAATATTTTAAGAAATAAATATTTTATTAGCATGTACATTTGATGTTAATGATTTTTCATCAAAATTACTGCACGTTCTAAGCTAATAATGGCTGTAAAATGTGATTAAATGTGGGTGTCTTAAAACTTGCGGTTTGTTACACTCTGAAGGGCTCATAACACATATGTTAAAAATTTCATTGAATTTGATTGGATTGTTTTGGAGATATCACGTTTTTCGTGCACAAAATATCGTAAAAATGTCTGTCTTCAAAAAACGCCTTAAAAAAATATTTTTATAAGTTAGCTAAAGTAAATGCTACAAAAACAACTTAAAAAACGCTCTAGTTTTACGTAGTAGTCCTTCTCTCTCAATAATTATATTTCTTTTTTCTCTAATGGCTGAAACAACACCAAACATCAAACACCTAAAAAGCACTTTTTCAACCTAGTCGGATACCTTAATCCTTTCCATAAAAGTATACGCCACGGCAGGTGGAGCGACCTCAAGAAATCTTAATACTTCACAATTCATGCATGTCAACAATTACGGTCATGTGGGTGACATTGAAGAATAACTTGGACGGTGGGGCTATAGACAAAGAGAGAGAGAGAGAGAGTGAAAATGTACTAGTGGTGACGATATATCTGTTGAGCATAAAAATAAATCGTACATCACGCACTATGTATATTTATAAACAGGGCGCATTGTGTCCATTTCGGTGCTCTAAGCTAAGGAGATAGTTTAACTCAAAGGAAATTCATTTATTAAGTTGAACACTTTCCAGACAGAAAGCTGACTTGCTTTTAAAAAAGAATTTTTGAGCGATGCCAATATTTCAGATTAAAATTAAGCGGAATTTAGCAAAACCACACAAGTAATGTAAAAGAAAATTAAGCCGATTTCTACTTAGGTCAACAAAGAAAATTTTATTTTAGTTACGTTTTGTTAAATAATTACAATTAATATAAATATGTATATACATATGACAGAATCACTATATTAAGTGACAAAATTGAAAGTGATTTTCCTTGCAATTTTCCATTTTTTGTTCTATATATGGTGCTGGACTATTATATATTTTTGTTTGCTACTATTTATTCATTAATTACATTTAATTATTCTAATAAAATAGTATAGTAAAAAGAAATCATATTCTCGGAAACTAGGCCCTCCCAGGTGGAATTCGAACCCACGGCCTTTGGATTAGAAATCCAAAGCGTTATCCATAGCGCTACAGGGATACAAAGAGCGACTTTCCTTTTTTTTATATGGCGTGGGACTATTATTTTTGCTTGTTACTATATATTTATTCATTAATTAAATCTAATTAATGAATAAATGTTTGAAAAACTGTTTTAACATCAAGTGTCATCCATTACAAGTTTTGAAAAATGTATTTGAACTTGAGTGGATGAATGAAAAGTATTTTATCAATGATTTAAAATTTAAACAAGATACATAGGGTGAGTCTGAACTAATAGTAGGAATTGAAAGAAGGGGAAAACTTTGTAACTGTAACTATTTTATTGGTTTTTTCTTCATGTGTGCATTTCTGACTGCTGTGGCTGTAGACCTAGGTTGACTCCGTGAAAAGCTGACTGATATAGCACCTTTAACGCTAGAACGTCCGGGATTTCGATTACCCTTAAACATCCATCGCTGTCATTTCGACAGCACAATATAAAATAATTGGCTACTGCAGGGCTACTGTTCACTAGGGTTTAGTTTTAAGACTTTTCAATATTATTTCATGTGATTATCATATATTATGACCCTTTATATAATAAAAAGCTGAAGCTGATATCATGTTTCGTGAAGCTTGTTGGACTACAGCTTTGTAGTAAGACATTTCAAGTCGCAAATCTACCAGGAAAATTACTGTTACGCAGTATCCAATCTATGCCATTCCTATTGATATATATATCAGAGTAATATGAGTAATATTTTGGTGATTCGGATGTATGGTGTGTATAGGCGTAATTAGGTTTCAAAAGTGAAAACACGGAATCACACAATAAAGTTTATTGACGATATTTTTCGGTAACCAAAATGTGCGGTTCTTGTGTGTGTAGTATACAAACAAAAAAATGTGAATTTTCGGATAATAAAAATTTTAATAAGACAATGTCGCATACCATGGAATAAATACTGAACTGGGGTATTTTCACCCACTCATGTAGGTGATCGAGCAAGTAGGTGGCACTCATGTCATGTCGGGGTCACGGCCATGAGCTCCTGTTCTAAGTGTCATTAGTTCGATCCTAGTGTCGCTAAAGACCCACCGTATAGAGGTGGCCACCACCCATTAAATATGAATAGGCTTTAAGTCCTCCCGTTAGTGGGGAAGTTAGAAGAGGAGGGTATCAGCTCAGGTGCCATCCTCGTCACCTGACCAGGGTTCAAAATGACAAGGTTCATCCCCAATAGCCCTCTTGTAGCTTTACATAGTATGAAGTTAATTAACTCGCTCATCTAAAAAAGAGTTTAACCAGCTGCTGAATTTTTATGGAACGGGATAGATAAGCGATAAGAGCAAGTAGGAAATGTTGAATCATCCGCCTTATGGTCCTGATTTTTCACCTTGCAATTACCACTCACTTAAATGAACTTTTAGAACTCCGCTCTTTATTTGTAACCAAATGGTCTCACGTGACCTCATTACTACGCCTTTATGATTGGTCAGCCTTTCATTTCGGAATAAAGCTTTTCAGAGACCAACCTATGTATCACTTGAATGACCTCAGTGGCACACTCAAGGAAGTTGGTTCCGTAGGTTCCAGACCTTTTTCGGTTGATTATAATATTGTTTACATGGTAATATATACATATACTAAGTATTTCTGGTAATTTAATTAAGCATTTGCTATTAATATTACTTCATTACTTATTCAATCGCTTATATTTTATTGTTTCTTGTTCCCGACAACCGATAAAATCAAAAAAACTATGTTTAAACGAGAATGGAGGATTTTTGACGCATGACACGCCATCCCTTTAAAAAATTCCTGAATGTGCCATGGTTTACTTTTATAATTAATTATATGCGACTATATTTCACTCGGGGTGAAACCTAATTCCAAATTTCCCAATATTTCACTAACAAAACAAGAAAAGTCAAAGCTTTAAATGAACTATAAACAATAAAAACATGTCCACAATTTTATTTTCCAATTAACTTTTACAAAGGTCAAGGACTAACTATTATCATACGAAATGTTTTTGTGATAATTGAAAATTACCATCTGACCTTCTGTTGTTTTTTCTTCTAGTTTTTCCCGCCATAATGTATAACTCTTAGTAATGAGAATTTCTTAGAACAATAAAGAGTAACTGTGTCTGTTTTTAACGATGGACATTTTAACGTGCGAATACTGCTGTTTTTCAAGGTTTTCAACAAGATAGATGACACTTCTGTTGTCCTTTTTAAGTAATACTTCTCCAGTTTCCAATAAAAGTAAGAAAGGGATTAACTTCAGCAAGTAGTTACGCTAAATTTATGGCGACGAGTAGAGAAATGTTGCTACTGAGTTACTGTCTGATGAATTAGATTTAAGGTTCATGCAACCTTGGAAAATTTCAAATTTATCTTAAGTATTTCAACAGTAGTTTGCGAACATAAATTAGCGATGCATGTTATCCGACTTTTTAACTGCTTCGTATATTTTCATGTAATATGTTAACTATGTGTAATTTCAAATTTATGACTTCTAATTATGCAAATTTTCCGAAACATTGCAATCTCCATTTTGCAAAAAAAATGTTTTCTTGTATTTTTATAAATGTGTTGTTCACAAAAAGTCCAGTTCTTACATCTGGCAATGAGGATGTAACGATCCATTGTCAACTTTTGAATCATGAGACTCAAAACAGTTTCAAGTGTCCAAAATAACTGGCCATTTCTAGATCAATAAAGTCCAGAAAACTTGGTCTGATGCCATCCGACATGTGACCAAGTTTTTGAAAATGCCGCTTTATAGAGAATGCAATAAGTACGAGTGTTTCATCAGAAAATATCGTACTACGCTTGTGTGTATTGTTTGCTTGAGAATAACAACAGAAAATTAACTCCGAGATATCCTTAACCACTTAAGTGGTCAATATTTTTACTCAAAATGCTTTAAAAAAGGCACATTTTTTTATAGTTTATACTAAAACACCATACTAATTCTGCCTTCACTACAAAAAAATGCAGGATGAAGAGCCTTTCAGTACCATAGACAAACTACATCACCTTTTCGAAATATTAACACTAAATAATGCACCATAAGAATTGAAAATAAGCTCAAACTAAAGAAAAGAAAGAAAGAAATTATCAATGTCCGTACAGCGTACGGTCAAAACAGTTGCTTCCAACTTTCGGTATAGCTCATACTTTGTACTGGGAAAGCGCTTAAGGGGTTAAACAAATAAAGTACGTACTTTATGAATGTAAAGATCCTTTACTTCGTGAAAACAAATACAAAAATACAGTAATTTACCTGATTAGAGACATCGCCGAAAAATACTTGATGAAGGCATAACACATCACTCAATAAGTCCCGGGCCTAACTAATACAACAACAACTTTTATGCAAAATTGAGCTTTATGTATCAAGATATTTCCCATCAAGAGTGATGCATTCAGCCCAGCGCTCTTCTAATTTTTTAATACTTTTTTCGGAGAAAGGTTTGTCTTTGCTCTCAAAATTGGCTTCAACTTCGACAATCACTTCTTCATTTGAGCCATACCTCATTCCCTGTAGAATTCTTTTAAGGTCTGCAAACAGACAGTAGTCTCTGTGGGCCAGTTCTAGACTGTATGGTGGGTGTGAAAGTAATCCGAAGTGCAATTCGCTCAATTTGACCATCGTTTTCATGAACTTGTGGCACGGAGCATTGTCTTCGCATTTGAAGACGTTTTTTCTTTACTTTGTTCAATCAGTAGATCCAATAAGGCTGTTTAAAATTCACTACTAATTGGTTTGCCTTTCGCAAGGTAGTCAATAAACAAAATTCCATGTGCATCCCAAAATACGGACGTCATTACCTTGCCAAACGTTTGAGTTTTTGGTCACCAGCTGTTGTCCACTCAGCTGACGATTTTTTTATTCAGGCATGTAGTAATGGATCCATGTTTCAACCATTGTCACATATCTAAGTAAAAAATCATATTTATTTCATTTAAACAGCTTCAAGCAACGCTCTGAATCGTCGATGCGTTGTTGCTTTTAATTGTGGCACCCACTTTGAACACAGCTCTCTCGTTAACAAATGATCTTGAAAATAGTGAATACACTGCGTTCTCTCTGATACCTTTAAATCCTCTACTATCGCATGAATTTTCAATTTACGATCGGATAAAATGATTTTATGGACTTTTTTTTATGTTTGTTGGAACAATGCAGTATTTGGGGCGACCTGAACGTTCAGCGTCGTTTGTGTCTGTGCGACCACGTTTTAAGTCTGCATACACCTATTAACCGTTGTTAGAGATGAAGAAAAGTCCAGATAACACTGCTCAAGCCATTGTTTTGCTTGAATAGTGTTTTCCCCATCAAAAAGCAATGTTTATTTTAACACACTAAATTCTTTTTCATCCATGGTTTTTAAACTAACAAAAGTTGATTTACTGAAACCACTGTAACTTTTCAACTAAACAAGTATTATCACGAAATTTTGTGAAGCATGCCATTTGAAAGTTAGTACTACTAGGTTAGACTTAGGAAAGTAAGAAGGTAGCGCCATCTATATGTCAGGTCCGGGACTTATTGAGTGATGTGTTAAAACTGTCTATAACGAAAATTAAGTAGCCGACTGTGCGAAAACTGGTTAAATTTTTAAAGAAGTGCGTAATGTCCTGTTGTGTCTTCCGTATTGCACCCTGCATTTTCCTGCTTCATCACGAAGACGACGGAGAAACAGTAAGTCCATTACCGATGCATCTTGATGTTTAATATACTACAGGGTGGTTTCACGCGCGCGCGACAGCCTTTAGTCCCTCACTATGTAATATTTTAGTTTGTGCGATGTTCTCAACGTTAACGTCTTCATAATTTCCCGGCGTTTTTTTTTAAACTGTTACAGCAGCAGTAATTTGAGATTTTTTCGACCTGAAAGGATATGGCCGAGTTATCCGGACTTCCGGTGCTTTCGAGTGCCAAGTTTTCGGGACTCCAGTGTATTAATTTTTAATTTCCGATGCACGGTATGATCAAACTAGCCAAGTGGTAATAATTGCGATTTCTTATACTATTTTGTTTTG